GAATAGTGTCTGGTCCTGTTGCCTTCGATGTATTCAGCTTGGCTAGACGGCGGCGTACATCAGCAAGCCGGAAATGGATGCGGTCAAGACCATGGCGGTCCAAATGCTGCATTTCTGGCAGATCGTCTGGAGAGATGTCAGCATCTGCAAGGCTACACTTCTGGGAGTAGTACCTGGCGAGGCAATTGGCCTTGGCTTGGCGAGTTGGATACTCTGTGCCGTCGGTGTCCTTCAGAAGAGGTATCTCAGAGGCACGTTCCATCCCAGCAGCTCACTTCATGTTGGACCACCATTGCTTGTCGTTAAGTGAGCCTGAGCTGAGCTTAGCTTTGACACGAGCATCATGTGATGATTGGTCGCGCAGCAAAATAGCAGCTGTTTGGGCCACTAGGTCGATGAATGAAGCTCGCAAATCTCCATCATTGGGGTGCTGACGCCACCGTTTCCATGCACGAGTCTTTGCTTGAACTACAGTGCTGCACTCAGGTGTCCACCAACAAGGGTCTGTCGTCCGTACTGTCAGGGTCTTAGATGGTATAAACAATGTCCATTCCATCCAGAATTACAGTTGTGAGTTGTTCACATGCAAGTTCGGGGTCATCGCAGACGACAGCAGCCCAGTCAAAGCTGCGGAAATGTGCCCTCAGTCTGCCCCAGTCTTCTTGGCCATAACGCCATACTTTCCTGCTTGTTGGCCGCTCCAGTACAGGAGTGATTTCCTGAAAGTTGGACAATACTACACAGTGGTCAGAGCGACCGATGGGAGATGATACTGCTGTGTGGACAGCGCCAGGAAAGTCGGACAAGACGAGATCCAATGTGTTTGGCCCACGGGTTGGCTGGGTCACGTGCTGGACAAGACAGTGTGTTGCACTGATTTCTTCCAAGAACTCCCCTGCGATTGTCGTTCGAGAGCTGCCAAGCCAGAACATGCTGTGAACATTAAAGTCTCCAGCCAGAATCATGTGCTTACCATGCTGCCGCATGGTATCTATGTTTTGGTCTAAGTGCTCGAGTAGAGCCAGATCATTGTCAGCGCAGGAACCAGGGCGATAGGCTGCACCTATGACAGTTTTGCTGTTGCACTGGCCAACGGTGGGCCAGGCTGTTTCGAATTCAGCAGACTGGTACTGATCCAGATGCTAGTACGCGATGCCGGCTTTGATTCAGACTCCAATGCCACCTCCGTGTTCTGTTCGGTCTCGGCGAAACGGGCCACAGTATCCCGGGATCATAGATGCACTGTGAGAGCATTTATCCACTGTTAGTTTCGTCTCAGTCACTATGGCAACATCCGCACCTGAGAGCAACAGGGCATGCTGAAACTCTCCGAACTTGGACAGCAGCCCGCCTGCATTGGTCAGGAGGAGCTTCATGATTGCTGGCTGTCTGTATTCAGTTGTTGTTGCTCGGCAGACTCTTGCTGCTGGTGGTCTTCGTCCAGTTTCTTGAGCAGTGGGCTGCCGGAGTCAGGTGAATCCCCATGCCGTCGCTTGCAGTAGGGAGGCAATGGTGTCAGGTCGGAGCTGTGAGTGGCTGAGTCCTTGCCTAACTTCTTCGACAGCACAGACTGTCCATTTCCCTTTCCTGGCACTGGCCCATGACGTTTTTCATGGAATGTCCACTCCCTCGCATACAGTGGTCTAGGCCAAAAGTTTACAGAGGTGACTGTGGGGAGGGCATCAGCATCAACAGTTACTCTTCCTGTCATCATTCCCTTCTTGTTTTCACGGACAGTGCAATCATGAACTGCAACTGTCTGGTGTACTGCGGTGGAGCGTGTTGTGATGAACTCGCTTAGCCGTTGGTCATTGCACTGGGCACTGAGATTGCCAATAACGACAACTACTCGCTTCTTGCGGTGAGGCTCTTGAGCCACCAACTGCCAAGAATCATCCTGGATGGCCTCCAAGTCCAATGCAGAGGTTGCGTTGGGCACAGGCTTGTTATTATTATTATTACGGCGTGTACGCTGGCTGTTGAGAGTATGGGTACTGCCGGGCAGCTCGGAGGAGGAATCCACGGCTGTAATGGCGGACTTCTTTTCAAGGGAGACACGAACCTCCGCCTTGAACTCCACGATTTGTGTAGAGTGCTCATCTAAGCGTCGTAGGAGGCACCTCTCCCGGTCTCTCGACTCGCCGACAAAAGTTGTCAAAGTCTGCAGCAAGCTGACCACATTTTGCTCAATGCCAGGCAGAGAGCAGAGCAGTTTTGTCGGCTCGCCTGTCAGCTCGTCCATGTAAAAAAAAATTTAGGACTACGACTACGGGCACCACACTACTACTGCTACCTATTACACTGGACTACTACAACCGCTGCTAAGACCCTACCGGTACCTCCAGACCGGCCTGATGCCGACTGGGCTACTACAACCACTGCTAGACCCTACCGGTACCTCCAGACCGGCCTGATGCCGACTGGGCTATCGAAATCTACGAGCTGAAAAAACGCTACCCTCACTCACGGTATCATGCAAAAGACAGTAGAATGCCAGAATGAAATTTAGGACCAGGCTGCTACCTTCTAAGACACACATGTAGTACTAGCAGGCGTTGGAGCTGGTGAGAGATATTGCGGCGGCTTCAGAGGCAGATTGACTATGTGCATTCCTTTCTTGAAGTTTGACAATTTGCAGCTATAGCCTATTCTCCGGGGGGGGGGGGGGGGTGGGAGCTCCTCCCTTTTGTGTCAAACCAAGAGCATTATAGGATTATAGCCCTTTCTGAAGCAATAAATCAGCATTACATGTATAAGGTCGTTTTTGGAGCATTATGGTTAGCATTATACAAACGTTTTCGCCTTTTCGGAGCATTATCCGCTGGACCCTAATACCGAGATAGGCTTTCCACGAATCGGCCCGTTTTTTTCCCCTATTCGGATTTTCGCTAGGCTCAAAAATACATCAGGTTCGGCTGCAAAATCAGCTGATTTTCCAACATCGGCTGCAAAATTGTAATAATTGATTAATTTACTCAGATGGAGAGCCAAGGTTTAATTTATACAAAAGAGAAAGAAAGTGCAAAAAGAGAAAGACCAAGGAACTACAAGTTACGCTATACGGTCCACTAACACCACCAGTTACTAAACTATCAGCTCATGCGATAACATTGCACGACACTGACCGACGGTACTGACGTTCTACAACTAACTGGCTAACAGCTCTAGCACATCTTTTTTTTTTTTTTTTTTTAATTTCGGCCAGTCGGCTACTATCATTTTCGTCTTGGGGGCTAGACAAGGGGAAGTAGCCATGTCGGGGCATGAGCCCGCCTTTCGGCACCGGGAGTTGCAGCTCGCTCGACTTGACTCAACTGAGTGCAGAGGACCCACACCTTGATCTGGTGAGCTGCGTCGTGGGGATTTTGCAGTCAGATGTGCGACTGCGGGGCTCGAACCCGCGGCCTCTCGGGTCGCAGGCAAGTGCAGTACCCAATGTACTACCGGGGAGCACATCTTGGATGCGCACTCCAACAGCCTTCCAACTTTGGTTTGACCGTATTGTCCAATGGTCTTGCCAGTATTGTCATTGACATGCATGAACACCCGCCAACGTCCTTCACAGCTGAGACTTTCAGCGGCGTGCTTATCTTGGTTGCGCTCACCTTCCCCTCCTTATGTTATTTCTATAACTTAGAACCTTCCAATTTGGAAGTCTGTTGGGTGCGCATCCAAGATGTGCTAGAGCTGTTAGCCAGTTAGTTGTAGAACGTCAGTACCGTCGGTCAGTGTCGTGCAATGTTATCGCATGAGCTGATAGTTTAGTAACTGGTGGTGTTAGTGGACAGTATAGCGTAACTTGTAGTTCCTTGGTCTTTCTCTTTTGTACAAATTAACCCTTGGCTCTCCATCTGAGTACATTCCTGCACACCTGATGAGCCGTCTCTATCTATACGGCGAAACAATCGTCGTGTGAAACTGCTGCTTGTTACTGCTGCTTCTTCTCCATCTAAATTGTCATAGTCGAAGTACAGTGCTGTTTTACTGAGGCGTTCGCTTTTTTAATGATTCTTGTTCGCATAGCTCCCACTTTTATTGATATTCGCATCTCTTGAGCCACACAAGTTGTGTGGAATGTTGCTTTGCGTTCTGGAATCGTGGTTTGACCGTATTGTCCAATGGTCTTGCCAGTATCGTCATCGATATGCATGAACATCCGCCAACGTCCTTCACAGCTGAGACTTTCAGCTCGTGCTTATCTTGGTTGCGCTAACCTTCCCTCCTTATGCTATTTCTATAACTTAGAACCTTCCAAGTTGGAAGGCTGTTGAAGTGCGCACCCAAGATGTGCTAGAGCTGTTAGCCAGTTAGTTGTAGAACGTCAGTACCGTCGGTCAGTGTCGTGCAATGTTATCGCATGAGCTGATAGTTTAGTAACTGGTGGTGTTAGTGGACAGTATAGCCGAACTTGTAGTTCCTTGGTCTTTCTCTTTTGTATAAATTTATTACTCATAAAAAGGACACACTTCAGGCTCATTACAAACATCTTGAAAGTTTTTGTCTTCACAAGTATACTTTCAAGCCTTCTCATCAGGTGAAATACAGGCAAGGGAAAAGGAACAGGCACAGTGGATTAAATACAGTAAGAAGATGGTAAAACAGCGCAAAAAAAGAAAGAAAGAAGATAGCTAAAGTAAACAGCGAAAATTGCAATAATGACACAAAGGTGCAAATGCGAGAAAACTCAATAAGCGCGACATGTAGTGCGACAACAAGAGACAACCACTGGACATACATGTAACTAATGAGGTTAGATCAATTTGTTGCGTAATTTGGTGGATCGTGCACGTCGCCTTTGTTCGTCTTCAAGGTTGGAGCAGGAGTTGGAGAAGTTACGTGCGCTTTTTCGTCTCAATGGATACCCCGAGTCTGTTATTGTGAAGTATGTAACTGAGACCAGTCCAAAGAAGAATGCTGAAGTTTCCACTAATCCAGTATACCTATGTTTACCGTGGAAGGGCGAGTCAGTATCACGTAAGTAGTAGTGACCGAGCCGGTCCTGGGCCAAGGGTTGAACCCACTTGACCTTATGAATGGGTACTTGAACTTTGCGGTTGTTAATTAAGTGGCCACTTGAACTTTTAATTGGATAAGTGGTAATGAAGTGGCCACTTGAGATCTGAAGTGGTTTTGAAGTGGGCCAGGTGTCATATTTAATTGGATTAATGACTAAGTGGTGTCTGAAGTGCCTCTCGGCGACATAATTGCTTTTAAAGTGGTGGGTGTGGTTGTTGACAAGAGTCACTGTCTGGGAATGTGTTCTGGAAACTTCTAGGTATTCCCAGGCTAATTAGAACTAGCTCTACGGTATGATGTCATAGGGGGGTATTTTTTAGGAGGTGTGACTCATTTATAAATTGATATATGATGCAGCGTTTACTGGAAAATGTGATCAGTTAGCATCATGGATATTGAAGAGCAATTTGAAATACTGCGTGCGTACAAGGAGCGTCAACGCGCCGTCGTTGAGCATGACGATGACCCTTGTCCTGATGCCCCTCCTCCTAGTCCAAACATTGACAAATGTTTTCATAATCATCAAGTTGTGAACGAGGGGCACTTTGTGTGTACTGTATGCGGACTTGTTCTTGATAGCGTGCTGTTGCCGGAGGTGAATTTTACAGAGAGATGCATTCTCCCACGGCTATATGCGGCTCGGGAGCGATTGACTGCCGTCGACAGACATCTGGTACGCTTCATGCAGAAGACCGGTGTCCTGCTGAACCTTCACGGTGTGCTGGAACCGTTGCAGTACATGAAGAAGGAGAGTGGCTACAAGAGCCTGAACTATGCCATAGCTCTGACATGCATCTGTGCTGAGCGCGACGAGATTTGCCAGAAGCTTCAGCCATATCTTCCAAAGAGCCATGTGGCGTGGGCACGATCCAGCAAGCTAATGAGTTGCAAACCGCAGCAATTTTCGAAAGCCTGGCTCCGCCAACTTCTAATCCGTACAAAACCTCTTACCCCTTTTCAGCTGAAGAAGTTTAAGCAGAATATCCGAGAGTTTAATTCTGAGGAGAAGGAACTGATGCAAAGACTAATCCAATCTTACGGGTGCTGTGAACCTCGTGTGGAATTAATTCCTGCGGAGATGAAATGTGCGCTGTACCGTTTCTCAAGTGCCATGTGTAGGGCGAGGAAGATGATGATGAAGGGTACCGTTGCCGCTGTATAAAACCCCTGACATCTTAATTTTCCATCATTTCGCAAAGCATCCTTGCCAAGTCACAAGTAATTGTTGTTGTTGTCTTCATCCTTGCTATTACTTTGGTGAAGAAGAAGAAGAAGAAGAAGAAGAAGAAGAACAACAACAACAACAACAACAACAACAACAACAACAACAACAACAACAACAACAACAACAACAACAAGAAGATCATGAACATGTGGTCTATTTTGAAAGATCATGGTGAGGACGGCCATTGTACAATGGGTGCGCTGATGCGTTGTGCTGCGCGGTTAGGAATCGCAACCTCGCTGACAAACCTGGTGGAACCTTTCAATGGAGACCATGGATATGATCAAGCAGTTGTTGAAAGTCACCCCATAACCAACTTGATCTGGATTGCTGCCAAGGACATGGCTTGCTGCGGGCGGAAAGAACTACTTGATGTAGTGAAGCTGCTGTTTCCAGTTGATCCAACCCCTGATGGAAGTACGCCTAGTACTGCTACTGGCAAGTCGGACATTGCTCAACGCCACCTCATGAAGAACCTATCCTGCGTGTTCAAGAAGGTGAAGAGCACCCCTTCCAGTAACAACATTAGTATGATCATCGTGTTGGTTGCAATGCTCATTCTCTTGTGTGAAGAAGTGTCGCTGAGAGGATACGATCATGAGCTGCACTGCACTCTATATCTAGTTGAGTTCTTCAATCAAGAACTGCATGCTATTGACGTGGTGCACTACAAGCGTTGTCAGCAAACTCAGTCAACATTCACGAATTGTGGAATTCCACAAATGCTCACATTGATTACTATTATGTCTATCCTTGCCTCCCTCACTTTGAGCTATATTATTAAATTTGACATGTAGACACACACACACACACACACACACACACACACACACACACACACTCAAATCATCATCATCATAATACATGACGTTATTCATTAAAAATGTTTTATTATAATTTATCAATACACTTGGTAAAGAAAACGGAATGAATCATAAATGTTGTAGTTTCTGTACACGCCTGTGATGGTATCGTCCATTCTCAGTACGGCTTGATTGGCATGGAGTGGGTTGGAAGTGAATGACAGCGTGCACTTGTTCTTCCTGGGTGTTTGACTGTGTGACATCCAGTAGCGTATCTCCTTTGTCCCGCGCTCTGCAGCATCTGCAGGGTATCCAACTAGAATGTATAACCCAAGTGGCACAATGGTACCGGCATCCACATTTTTCCAAATGGGAATTCAGTGAGCACCAGTTCTGTGTTTGCTTGAGTCTCCGGGAGTGTTCCGCTGACAGTGTGTTCTTCTAAAGCGAAAGTTTGTCGTATCAGTGTTCTTCTTAACGAGGTTTCACTGTACATAGATGCAAAAAGACACACATAGGTGGTCTTTATATTGCATTGTCTATTCCTTGATACATTGACACGTCTGTGTATTGCTCCCCGTTCTGATAGGTGTATGTTTTTGTTGTAATCGCCGTCACGTGAACGGTGTTGTCAGCCCTCATCTCTCTTCTTTTTACCATACATTCCTTGTAGACTTGTAGGGTTTCATTCTGTTGATGTTGTTGCTGTCCGTCTTGTTGTCGTGGAGGTGGTGGAGGTGGGCTAATTAAGTGGCCACTTGAAATGTGAAGTGGTGTTTGAAGTGCCTATCGGCGACATAAGTATTTCTTTTAAAGTGGTGGGTGTGGTGTTAGTAAGATTGACTGTCTGGGATGTTTTTTTTGAAATTGAATTATGATATTCTGGAATATTCTAGGTATTGCCAGACTACCCTTCAACCAACGAGCATCAAACAACTGGATGGGGATAAAAGTGATTGGAGCTGCCTTGATGAGTCCCATTCAACTCCAGCCTGAAGATCGTCTTCTTCTTCTTCAAAACAAAGATGCAATTCAGCTGTGACTTATGTCTTAAGACTACGACCGGCCTCCAGCCGTTCGTTGACCACGCCAAATCAAAAGGACATCGGAAGAACCTGGAGGCTGGTCGTCAGCCGGTTTATAAATGTAGCTGGTAAGTGATCTGTTATACAATTATCTTTATTTGAAATACAGGAGATCTTATACATCTTGTTTTATCTTTTTCCCCCATGCAGCGATGACGAGTGGATTGATCTTGGGACAATGAAGGATCACGTTACAACGTCCCGACACATCAACAACTACCTTCAGAGGCTTATCAACTTCTACGGGGTGTTGCCCATTAACAGCGTGACGAAGATGGCGCAAGCCCAGGCGGAGCTCCTGTGTTTATAATAAAAAGTTTAAAACCAACATATCTGTGTTAAATGTTTGTGTGAAAGGGGTCGAGTTCTCATTCAATTGCATGTTCCGAGGTGATGGGTTTGGAACGTTGAAGTTCGATGTGATCGACGTATTGGGTAGCTGCAAGTTCGTTGAACAGAGCGGTGGCAAAACATGTGACAGTTGTTTTTTGGCACGTTGTAAAAGCCCTTGACGAGATTCGAGTCGTAGAGGAAATCTACCATATTCTGCAGATTTAGATTCGATTGGTCAGTAATAATCTCCTCTATTGCCGTATTGGAGTTTTTCGATAGGCACTCGTCAGCTCCGCATTATAGTCTATAGACGGATGTAGACGACGCACAGACGCCATTTCCTGAACAGCATGGACCTGTGTGATCAATTCGACGCGCTCATCAATTACGTTCGACAGCCAAAGGGCTCTCCTGCAGGTGATGATTGTTGCAATCACGTGACCGAGGCCGTGATAAATGGACGCACGGGAGCATGATTTTCAAAACAAAGCGATGCATGCCAGAAAAAAGATGCTATCAATCTCGACAGCGTCTCCTAGGCGTCGACAGACATCTAATTAGTTTTCTGAAGAAAACAAACATTGGTGACTTCCTCTCAGCTCACTTCAACCTTCACCCCCCCTGCAAGAAACGCTACATTCTCTGAAGAAATCCTGTTTTGTACAAAAGCCTCAACTATGCTATTGCACTATCGTGCCTCCTATTCCATAGTAGCCTGTCGTCACATCGATATCAATGATGTCAGTGACGCCTCAAAAAGCCATTTTGAAACCCTGGCCAAAGCGAAGTGGATGTAACAACGTCTGCTTCACCATCTCAAGTGGAAGAGGGGAGATCGCGTTTTCCCACGTTCAGCGCGTACGAGCAACGTGCATCTCCTGTGAAACCATCTCTTCAACTGGAAATGGACGTCTTAATTCCAAACACAGTGGAGTTTCTGCTGGAAGTACACATGAAACATGGGAGCAACCTGATGCGTTAGACATGTCGGTTAAACTCAGGGGTGACTACCATGATCTCTACCTAAAGACCGATGTGCACCTTCTTGCAGATGTTTTTGAGAAATTCAGATGCACTGCAATGCTGACATACGATTTAGATCCGACACACTACTACACCCTGCCTGGATTCGCGTGGGCTCTTCTAAAGCATACAGAGATTTCACTCGCTCTGCTCACTGAGCTTCGGAAGAAGGCCGTCAACGAGTTTGACAAGGACTTCTTCAAACTTATGAACAATATGAACAATGTGTCTGGGAAGACAATGGAGAATGTAAGAAGAAGGATCTCCGTTAAACTACTCCGTGCAGAGGAAGAGGAAGATGTCATCAGAGCTGTGCACCATTCCACAGTAAGCGGTACATCTTAGCCGACGGTGTCAGCACACTTGCGCATGGACACCACCGCATCACACTGCCGGATGACTGAACAGTGATGTGATGTAATGGTGGTGGTGGTGGTTGACAATCACAATTATTCACACCCTGCACCATGTCAATTTATTTCTAATGAGTTATTGATGTTGATGTTATTGTTTTCTACATACCACAGAATAATCTTCTTCTTTTTTTTGTCTAGTTTCCCATAACTAGACTTTTATTTCTAATATACCTAAATATAATTGCTGGAAATACAATCACAGTTGATGATGATGATGATGATGATGGCCCAGTGTCGTTTGGCCGCATAGTGAATTTTTATGCTATGCCTCTCAACAATATCACTATGGATAACATTACATTTTTTTAAATAACTATTTGGTAAAGTAACATCATCTGTCATTTAATATCTATCTGGTAAAATAATCAGCATTTGAATATCTATTTGTTACTAATCATTCAACTGTTAAATGTCATATTTTACCTGAATATCTATCACGATTTTTGCACATAATCTCGGTTATCACCGTTTCAAGCCCGTACAAGAGGCCGTTTCCAATGATGATGATGATGATGATGATGATTTTGATGACAATGTTGATGTTTTCATTTTTTCGTGTTGTGTTCTAATCATTCGCCATGCCACTGTCAATTGTATTCTGTTTGCCCGTAAAAGAGGCCCATTCCACAATGTTGATGTTCATGATGATAATGATGATAATAATACTTGAAAGATTGCTCTTGTCGGCAGCTAGAGCTTGCTCAATTGTCCGTTGTCAATCCAGGAGTTGAACTTGTCCGGGTAGCCTTTCCACTTGACCAGAGACTGTCCGGGGCGTTTGCGCAGGACTTTCTCCACGCGGAACTTGGTTTTCCTTGGTTTTCTGCAGTCGATGTTCGTAGAAACTGCCCTGAATAGGCTCGTTCATGAGATCTCGAATGTTGTAGGTGGGTGGTTGGGTGGGTAGAACTCTATTCACGACGAACACCTCTTCAGTCCAATTGGGTGTGTAGCCCTTTTTCGAAATGAGCTTTGCTCACAGCAATTCTCACTTCATCGTTCACAGCATAGCGTCGCCGCCCTGTGCGTGCATCTGGACTTTTGCTGGGGTGATCCTGTACAAACGGAGCATTACACTCCTCGGACGCCTCGGCAGGTTTCATACCAATACTGCGGTACGGTGCTTGCTGGTGTTGTAGTCATGTACAAGTTTGGACTTTGGGTAGCACTTTGATGTAGACATTTGTTGATTTTGCTGTAAAGTGTTTGAGCGTTCTGTTGAATCGCTCTGCAACCACCGCCCCTTGCCGTCGTTATGAGTGCTGTACATGCTAATACCGTTGTCAGCAAGCCACTGCTTGACTGTTGCGTTGTAGAACTCTTTACCCTCATCGACCCACAGCTTGCGAGGTGAGCGCTTGCTGCTGGTCACGATGCTGCGAAACGCATCTCTGACAAGTGCGCCCGTCTTGTTCTGGAGCGGTACAACCCACCATGCATAGGGACCGAAAAGATCGATGACGGTCAGCAAATGTCGAGTGCCATTGTCATTTTTTTTTTTTGCAAACGCCTGCATGTCCACCAGATCTTCACTCCATCATGATAATTATGTCATCCAACTAGTGCACTATCACACGTCTGCGGGGCAGTTGCACCGCTGTCACTCCCAACACCGCCAGTCCCACCACTTGCGGTGCCGTTTGTGATTGAATCACTGTCAACGTCCAGGATCACGGGATCCTTGTGCAACCTATTGTCAGTGAAGTCACAGTTAGTGGCGTGCAAGTACTCGCACAGTACCTTCAATTATAGTACCCAGCTCCGAGAACAGTCTCCCTACGAGAACTGCATACCGACCACACACGGCAGTGCATGATAAAATTAAAAATAATAATAATAAAAATATTGACTGGTTATAAAAATGTTATTGAATAAAGTCATGTATTATGATGATGATGATGATGGCCTGTGTGTGTGTGTGTATGTGTGTGTGTGTGTGTGTGTTTGTGTGTGTGTGTGTGTGTGTGTGTGTGTATTTGTGTGTGTGTGTACATCTCCAATAATATACATGTAGCTCAAAGTGAGACAGGCGAGGATAGACATAATAGTTATCAATGAGAGCATTTGTGGAATTCCAAAATTCGTGAATGTCGACTTTTGCTGACAACGCTTGTAGTGCACCACGTCAATAGCATGCAGTTCTTGATCAAAGAACTCAACTAGAGTGCAGTGCAGTTCATGACCGTATCCTCTCAGCGACACTTCTTCGCACAAGAGAATGAGCATTGCAACCAACACGATGATCATACTAATGTTGTTACTGGAAGGGGTGCTCTTCACCTTCTTGAACACGCAGGATAGGTTCTTCATGAGGTAGCGTTGAGCAATGTCAGACTTGTCAGTAGCAGTACTAGGGGCTGTCCCATCAGGGGTTGGATCAATTGGAAACAACAGCTTCACTACATCAAGTAGTTCGTTCCGCCCGCAGGAAGCCATGTCCTTGGCAGCAATCCAGATCAAGTTGGTTATGGGGTGACTTTCAACAACTGCTTGGTCATATCCAGGTCTCCATTGAAAGGTTCCACCATGTTCGTCAGCGAGGTTGCGATTCCTAACCGCGCAGCACACCGCATCAGCGCACAATCGCTCCCGAGCGGCATATAACTGAAATACCGCCGCTAAAAGGTACTTTCAACCATATCAGCTCACAGGTCTGGACAATTGGTAAAATGCATTGTTTCTCAGTTGTACCTCCACTACATAACATTACAATTGAAATTGAAGTTAACGTTCGAGAACCTTCGACGGTACGGGTAATTCATTTCTAAGTCTGCTGCAGTGGTGGCGGGGTTGCTATACCCTAATGGTTTCAAAACATCCCAGACAGTCAATCTTATTAACACCACACCCACCACTTTAAAAGCACTTATGTCGCCAATAGGCACTTCAGAACCACTAAGTCATTAACCCAATTAAATGTGACACCTAGGCCACTTAAAAACCACTTCACGTTTCAAGTGGTCACTTAATTACCACTTATCCAATTATAAGATCAAGGGGGCTAATTAACAACCGACAGAGTCGACTCCGTCGACGGAGTCGGTTGTTAATTAGCCCCCTTGATCTTATAATTGGATAAGTGGTAATTAAGTGACCACTTGAAACGTGAAGTGGTTTTTAAGTGGCCTAGGTGTCACATTTAATTGGGTTAATGACTTAGTGGTTCTGAAGTGCCTATTGGCGACATAAGTGCTTTTAAAGTGGTGGGTGTGGTGTTAATAAGATTGACTGTCTGGGATGTTTTGAAACCATTAGGGTATAGCAACCCCGCCACCACTGCAGCAGACTTAGAAATGAATTACCCGTACCGTCGAAGGTTCTCGAACGTTAACTTCAATTTCAATTGTAATGTTATGTAGTGGAGGTACAACTGAGAAACAATGCATTTTACCAATTGTCCAGACCTGTGAGCTGATATGGTTGAAAGTACCTTTTAGCGGCGGTATTTCAGTTATATGCCGCTCGGGAGCGATTGTGCGCTGATGCGGTGTGCTGCGCGGTTAGGAATCGCAACCTCGCTGACGAACATGGTGGAACCTTTCAATGGAGACCTGGATATGACCAAGCAGTTGTTGAAAGTCACCCCATAACCAACTTGATCTGGATTGCTGCCAAGGACATGGCTTCCTGCGGGCGGAACGAACTACTTGATGTAGTGAAGCTGTTGTTTCCAATTGATCCAACCCCTGATGGGAAAGCCCCTAGTACTGCTACTGACAAGTCTGACATTGCTCAACGCTACCTCATGAAGAACCTATCCTGCGTGTTCAAGAAGGTGAAGAGCACCCCTTCCAGTAACAACATTAGTATGATCATCGTGTTGGTTGCAATGCTCATTCTCTTGTGCGAAGAAGTGTCGCTGAGAGGATACGGTCATGAACTGCACTGCACTCTAGTTGAGTTCTTTGATCAAGAACTGCATGCTATTGACGTGGTGCACTACAAGCGTTGTCAGCAAAAGTCGACATTCACGAATTTTGGAATTCCACAAATGCTCTCATTGATAACTATTATGTCTATCCTCGCCTGTCTCACTTTGAGCTACATGTATATTATTGGAGATGTACACACACACACAAATACACACACACACACACACACACACACACACACACACAAACACACACACACACACATACACACACACACACAGGCCATCATCATCATCATCATAATACATGACTTTATTAAATAACATTTTTATAACCAGTCAATATTTTTATTATTATTATTTTTAATTTTATCATGCACTGCCGTGTGTGGTCGGTATGCAGTTCTCGTAGGGAGACTGTTCTCGGAGCTGGGTACTATAATTGAAGGTACTGTGCGAGTACTTGCACGCCACTAACTGTGACTTCACTGACAATAGGTTGCACAAGGATCCCGTGATCCTGGACGTTGACAGTGATTCAATCACAAACGGCACCGCAGGTGGTGGGACTGGCGGTGTTGGGAGTGACAGCGGTGCAACTGCCCCGCAGACGTGTGATTGTGCACTAGTTGGATGACATAATTATCATGATGGAGTGAAGATCTGGTGGACATGCAGGCGTTTGCAAAAAAAAAAAAATGACAATGGCACTCGACATTTGCTGACCGTCATCGATCTTTTCGGTCCCTATGCATGGTGGGTTGTACCGCTCCAGAACAAGACGGGCGCACTTGTCAGAGATGCGTTTCGCAGCATCGTGACCAGCAGCAAGCGCTCACCTCGCAAGCTGTGGGTCGATGAGGGTAAAGAGTTCTACAACGCAACAGTCAAGCAGTGGCTTGCTGACAACGGTATTAGCATGTACAGCACTCATAACGACGGCAAGGGGCGGTGGTTGCAGAGCGATTCAACAGAACGCTCAAACACTTTACAGCAAAATCAACAAATGTCTACATCAAAGTGCTACCCAAAGTCCAAACTTGTACATGACTACAACACCAGCAAGCACCGTACCGCAGTATTGGTATGAAACCTGCCGAGGCGTCCGAGGAGTGTAATGCTCCGTTTGTACAGGATCACCCCAGCAAAAGTCCAGATGCACGCACAGGGCGGCGACGCTATGCTGTGAACGATGAAGTGAGAATTGCTGTGAGCAAAGCTCATTTCGAAAAAGGGCTACACACCCAATTGGACTGAAGAGGTGTTCGTCGTGAATAGAGTTCTACCCACCCAACCACCCACCTACAACATTCGAGATCTCATGAACGAGCCTATTCAGGGCAGTTTCTACGAACATCGACTGCAGAAAACCAAGGAAAACCAAGTTCCGCGTGGAGAAAGTCCTGCGCAAACGCCCCGGACAGTCTCTGGTCAAGTGGAAAGGCTACCCGGACAAGTTCAACTCCTGGATTGACAACGGACAATTGAGCAAGCTCTAGCTGCCGACAAGAGCAATCTTTCAAGTATTATTATCATCATTATCATCATGAACATCAACATTGTGGAATGGGCCTCTTTTACGGGCAAACAGAATACAATTGACAGTGGCATGGCGAATGATTAGAACACAACACGAAAAAATGAAAACATCAACATTGTCATCAAAATCATCATCATCATCATCATCATCATTGGAAACGGCCTCTTGTACGGGCTTGAAACGGTGATAACCGAGATTATGTGCAAAAATCGTGATAGATATTCAGGTAAAATATGACATTTAACAGTTGAATGATTAGTAACAAATAGATATTCAAATGCTGATTATTTTACCAGATAGATATTAAATGACAGATGATGTTACTTTACCAAATAGTTATTTAAAAAAATGTGATGTTATCCATAGTGATATTGTTGAGAGGCATAGCATAAAAATTCACTATGCGGCCAAACGACACTGGGCCATCATCATCATCATCATCATCAACTGTGATTGTATTTCCAGCAATTATATTTAGGTATATTAGAAATAAAAGTCTAGTTATGGGAAACTAGACAAAAAAAAAAGAAGAAGATTATTCTGTGGTATGTAGAAAACAATAACATCAACATCAATAACTCATTAGAAATAAATTGACATGGTGCAGGGTGTGAATAATTGTGATTGTCAACCACCACCACCACCATTACATCACATCACTGTTCAGTCATCCGGCAGTGTGATGCGGTGGTGTCCATGCGCAAGTGTGCTGACACCGTCGGCTAAGATGTACCGCTTACTGTGGAATGGTGCACAGCTCTGATGACATCTTCCTCTTCCTCTGCACGGAGTAGTTTAACGGAGATCCTTCTTCTTACATTCTCCATTGTCTTCCCAGACACATTGTTCATATTGTTCATAAGTTTGAAGAAGTCCTTGTCAAACTCGTTGACGGCCTTCTTCCGAAGCTCAGTGAGCAGAGCGAGTGAAATCTCTGTATGCTTTAGAAGAGCCCACGCGAATCCAGGCAGGGTGTAGTAGTGTGTCGGATCTAAATCGTATGTCAGCATTGCAGTGCATCTGAATTTCTCAAAAACATCTGCAAGAAGGTGCACATCGGTCTTTAGGTAGAGATCATGGTAGTCACCCCTGAGTTTAACCGACATGTCTAACGCATCAGGTTGCTCCCATGTTTCATGTGTACTTCCAGCAGAAACTCCACTGTGTTTGGAATTAAGACGTCCATTTCCAGTTGAAGAGATGGTTTCACAGGAGATGCACGTTGCTCGTACGCGCTGAACGTGGGAAAACGCGATCTCCCCTCTTCCACTTGAGATGGTGAAGCAGACGTTGTTACATCCACTTCGCTTTGGCCAGGGTTTCAAAATGGCTTTTTGAGGCGTCACTGACATCATTGATATCGATGTGACGACAGGCTACTATGGAATAGGAGGCACGATAGTGCAATAGCATAGTTGAGGCTTTTGTACAAAACAGGATTTCTTCAGAGAATGTAGCGTTTCTTGCAGGGGGGGTGAAGGTTGAAGTGAGCTGAGAGGAAGTCACCAATGTTTGTTTTCTTCAGAAAACTAATTAGATGTCTGTCGACGCCTAGGAGACGCTGTCGAGATTGATAGCATCTTTTTTCTGGCATGCATCACTTTGTTTTGAAAATCATGCTCCCGTGCGTCCATTTATCACGGCCTCGGTCACGTGATTGCAACAATCATCACCTGCAGGAGAGCCCTTTGGCTGTCGAACGTAATTGATGAGCGCGTCGAATTGATCACACAGGTCCATGCTGTTCAGGAAATGGCGTCTGTGCGTCGTCTACATCCGTCTATAGACTATAATGCGGAGCTGACGAGTGCCTATCGAAAAACTCCAATACGGCAATAGAGGAGATTATTACTGACCAATCGAATCTAAATCTGCAGAATATGGTAGATTTCCTCTACGACTCGAATCTCGTCAAGGGCTTTTACAACGTGCCAAAAAACAACTGTCACATGTTTTGCCACCGCTCTGTTCAACGAACTTGCAGCTACCCAATACGTCGATCACATCGAACTTCAACGTTCCAAACCCATCAACTCGGAACATGCAATTGAATGAGAACTCGACCCCTTTCACACAAACATTTAACACAGATATGTTGGTTTTAAACTTTTTATTATAAACACAGGAGCTCCGCCTGGGCTTGCGCCATCTTCGTCACGCTGTTAATGGGCAACACCCCGTAGAAGTTGATAAGCCTCTGAAGGTAGTTGTTGATGTGTCGGGACGTTGTAACGTGATCCTTCATTGTCCCAAGATCAATCCACTCGTCATCGCTGCATGGGGGAAAAAGATAAAACAAGATGTATAAGATCTCCTGTATTTCAAATAAAGATAATTGTATAACAGATCACTTACCAGCTACATTTATAAACCGGCTGACGACCAGCCTCCAGGTTCTTCCGATGTCCTTTTGATTTGGCGTGGTCAACGAACGGCTGGAGGCCGGTCGTAGTCTTAAGACATAAGTCACAGCTGAATTGCATCTTTGTTTTGAAGAAGAAGAAGACGATCTTCAGGCTGGAGTTGAATGGGACTCATCAAGGCAGCTCCAATCACTTTTATCCCCATCCAGTTGTTTGATGCTCGTTGGTTGAAGGGTAGTCTGGCAATACCTAGAATATTCCAGAATATCATAATTCAATTTCAAAAAAAACATCCCAGACAGTCAATCTTACTAACACCACACCCACCACTTTAAAAGAAATACTTATGTCGCCGATAGGCACTTCAAACACCACTTCACATTTCAAGTGGCCACTTAATTAGCCCACCTCCACCACCTCCACGACAACAAGACGGACAGCAACAACATCAACAGAATGAAACCCTACAAGTCTACAAGGAATGTATGGTAAAAAGAAGAGAGATGAGGGCTGACAACACCGTTCACGTGACGGCGATTACAACAAAAACATACACCTATCAGAACGGGGAGCAATACACAGACGTGTCAATGTATCAAGGAATAGACAATGCAATATAAAGACCACCTATGTGTGTCTTTTTGCATCTATGTACAGTGAAACCTCGTTAAGAAGAACACTGATACGACAAACTTTCGCTTTAGAAGAACACACTGTCAGCGGAACACTCCCGGAGACTCAAGCAAACACAGAACTGGTGCTCACTGAATTCCCATTTGGAAAAATGTGGATGCCGGTACCATTGTGCCACTTGGGTTATACATTCTAGTTGGATACCCTGCAGATGCTGCAGAGCGCGGGACAAAGGAGATACGCTACTGGATGTCACACAGTCAAACACCCAGGAAGAACAAGTGCACGCTGTCATTCACTTCCAACCCACTCCATGCCAATCAAGCCGTACTGAGAATGGACGATACCATCACAGGCGTGTACAGAAACTACAACATTTATGATTCATTCCGTTTTCTTTACCAAGTGTATTGATAAATTATAATAAAACATTTTTAATGAATAACGTCATGTATTATGATGATGATGATTTGAGTGTGTGTGTGTGTGTGTGTGTGTGTGTGTGTGTGTGTGTGTGTGTCTACATGTCAAATTTAATAATATAGCTCAAAGTGAGGGAGGCAAGGATAGACATAATAGTAATCAATGTGAGCATTTGTGGAATTCCACAATTCGTGAATGTTGACTGAGTTTGCTGACAACGCTTGTAGTGCACCACGTCAATAGCATGCAGTTCTTGATCGAAGAACTCAACTAGAGTGCAGTGCAGCTCATGATCGTATCCTCTCAGCGACACTTCTTCACACAAGAGAATGAGCATTGCAACCAACACGATGATCATACTAATGTTGTTACTGGAAGGGGTGCTCTTCACCTTCTTGAACACGCAGGATAGGTTCTTCATGAGGTGGCGTTGAGCAATGTCCGACTTGCCAGTAGCAGTACTAGGCGTACTTCCATCAGGGGTTGGATCAACTGGAAACAGCAGCTTCACTACATCAAGTAGTTCTTTCCGCCCGCAGCAAGCCATGTCCTTGGCAGCAATCCAGATCAAGTTGGTTATGGGGTGACTTTCAACAACTGCTTGATCATATCCATGGTCTCCATTGAAAGGTTCCACCAGGTTTGTCAGCGAGGTTGCGATTCCTAACCGCGCAGCACAACGCATCAGCGCACCCATTGTACAATGGCCGTCCTCACCATGATCTTTCAAAATAGACCACATGTTCATGATCTTCTTGTTGTTGTTGTTGTTGTTGTTGTTGTTGTTGTTGTTGTTGTTGTTGTTGTTGTTGTTGTTGTTGTTGTTGTTGTTCTTCTTCTTCTTCTTCTTCTTCTTCTTCACCAAAGTAATAGCAAGGATGAAGACAACAACAACAATTACTTGTGACTTGGCAAGGATGCTTTGCGAAATGATGGAAAATTAAGATGTCAGGGGTTTTATACAGCGGCAACGGTACCCTTCATCATCATCTTCCTCGCCCTACACATGGCACTTGAGAAACGGTACAGCGCACATTTCATCTCCGCAGGAATTAATTCCACACGAGGTTCACAGCACCCGTAAGATTGGATTAGTCTTTGCATCAGTTCCTTCTCCTCAGAATTAAACTCTCGGATATTCTGCTTAAACTTCTTCAGCTGAAAAGGGGTAAGAGGTTTTGTACGGATTAGAAGTTGGCGGAGCCAGGCTTTCGAAAATTGCTGCGGTTTGCAACTCATTAGCTTGCTGGATCGTGCCCACGCCACATGGCTCTTTGGAAGATATGGCTGAAGCTTCTGGCAAATCTCGTCGCGCTCAGCACAGATGCATGTCAGAGCTATGGCATAGTTCAGGCTCTTGTAGCCACTCTCCTTCTTCATGTACTGCAACGGTTCCAGCACACCGTGAAGGTTCAGCAGGACACCGGTCTTCTGCATGAAGCGTACCAGATGTCTGTCGACGGCAGTCAATCGCTCCCGAGCCGCATATAGCCGTGGGAGAATGCATCTCTCTGTAAAATTCACCTCCGGCAACAGCACGCTATCAAGAACAAGTCCGCATACAGTACACACAAAGTGCCCCTCGTTCACAACTTGATGATTATGAAAACATTTGTCAATGTTTGGACTAGGAGGAGGGGCATCAGGACAAGGGTCATCGTCATGCTCAACGACGGCGCGTTGACGCTCCTTGTACGCACGCAGTATTTCAAATTGCTCTTCAATATCCATGATGCTAACTGATCACATTTTCCAGTAAACGCTGCATCATATATCAATTTATAAATGAGTCACACCTCCTAAAAAATACCCCCCTATGACATCATACCGTAGAGCTAGTTCTAATTAGCCTGGGAATACCTAGAAGTTTCCAGAACACATTCCCAGACAGTGACTCTTGTCAACAACCACACCCACCACTTTAAAAGCAATTATGTCGCCGAGAGGCACTTCAGACACCACTTAGTCATTAATCCAATTAAATATGACACCTGGCCCACTTCAAAACCACTTCAGATCTCAAGTGGCCACTTCATTACCACTTATCCAATTAAAAGTTCAAGTGGCCACTTAATTAACAACCGCAAAGTTCAAGTACCCATTCATAAGGTCTAGTGGGTTCAACCCTTGGCCCAGGACCGGCTCGGTCACTACTACTCACGTATGGTTCAGCGTCGGGTTAAGTCTGCCGTGGAGTCCAATTACCATAATGTTCATATTCGCTTCATCTACTCCACGGTGCGTGCGTTCACGGTGAGGAAGGACGTCCTACCTACAGGCCAATTATCCAAGTTGATTTATCACTTCGATTGTCGGCAATGTGAGAGCCGATATGTAGGTAGGACTCTTCAACATCTGGACGCACGCATCCGACAACACGCACCGCTACACCTTATTCCACAACACGCACGATCCACTCGACCACGGAGGGGACGTCCAGCAAAGAATCATCCTGGTACAAGATGGTCCAACGCAGCGGCATCAACACCAAGCAACGTCACCTCACAATTAACTAGACCACCAGAAAAACAACCGGACAAGACACCTACTGGCGTGGCAGTGACAGGAACCGCATCAACCAGAAGAATGACAAGATCGGCAACGGCGGCGATGGCAGCGACTAAAGTACAGACAGAGGCAACGGCTAGGGTCCACTCGACTAGCCATGTGAAATCGGATGTGTCCACCGCACATGCTGATTGTTCTGATGTTAGTTCTGATAAGTATGAGTCGTCCATTGCTAGTCATTTGTTTGAGCATCCTGATTGTCGTGCTGTGTATTCAGATGATTGTTTTTCGATTGTGTCACGTGTACGCAGTGCTAGATTGCTGAATGTGTTGGAAGCTGTATACATCCACACAAGGAAACCCAAACTTTGCAAGCAGAAACAAATCAAATTCACACTTAGGCTGTTAGGTAGGTCGTCAAAACCTCGTTAGTTACATGTATGTCCAGTGGTTGTCTCTTGTTGTCGCACTACATGTCGCGCTTATTGAGTTTTCTCGCATTTGCACCTTTGTGTCATTATTGCAATTTTCGCTGTTTACTTTAGCTATCTTCTTTCTTTCTTTTTTTGCGCTGTTTTACCACCTTCTTACTGTATTTAATCCACTGTGCCTGTTCCTTTTCCCTTGCCTGTATTTCACCTGATGAGAAGGCTTGAAAGTATACTTGTGAAGACAAAAACTTTCAAGATGTTTGTAATGAGCCTGAAGTGTGTCCTTTTTATGAGTATTATCGCATTTTTGTCTCAGAGGAAACTGTTTATAAATTTATTAATAATAATTATTTGAAAATCGTCCTATAAGAATTGTTGGCATATTGGCTTCAAAACTGCACGTTGCAACAACATTTGGTAGATTTTCGGCGATTTTCAAAGGAACCCTTCAAAATCGGCGAAAAGCTGAGTGATTTTCGATAAGTCTCATTTCCAGCGAATATTTTTGCCTAGCCGATTCGGGGAAAGCCTACCGAGTGGTCATGCTTGCGGCAACATCATTCGTTCCTAAACGCACTTTGTAACAACATTATTTTGGTAGATTTTTCGGCGATTCTCAAAGGAATTGTGTGATGCTCCCTACATGGGAGCTCGCGGTTTTCCTGCCGACATGAATTCTCACTTGACTGACTCACGACTGCCATCCAGAGCACATGGGAAGTTCATCGAACCGTCCACTAGGCAAACCTTCAAAAAAGCACCACTCCCTGCACTTGCTATTGCATATTCTAGGCACTGGTCCTTGTTCCGGAACCTTCTTCTAGATTCTTGCATGTTTCTCTTGCCAGGTTTCTGACCACACTATCCCCTCTCTGCTCGCTATTATAAGCACGAGCACACTACGCCACTCTCCTCAGGACATGTACGACTTGCCCTCATGACCTGCACTGAGTTCTTGATTCACGGAGTAAAACAAGTTCAGCAAGATCTCCTACATATTTGGGTTCGTTCTCAACCTAAGAACTTAGATTACTCATACAGTCTTCAAGCATAATAATTATGTGAACCACTGTATTACTGGATGTGGATCAAGCCAGTGCACAAGTTGCGGGAAATTCCGCATTGGGAAGGGATTCGGAAGATACCATGTTAGTTGACCAATGGTTCATGGTTGATCTCATGTAGGTATTGGAATTTTGATTTGAATCAGACGCACAGAAAGTACGGGTGATATTGGTACAACAAAATTGAAAAAATTCCGGTTCTTGTACTCCAACATGGAGATCTCCAGGTCTAGAGTCCAAAGCAAATTGCTTTCCCTGTTCGATCGTTCTCTTCTAATTTGGCAAGATCGTTAGCGGGGACATTCCCGACAACAATTACGGCTGCGTTTGCTGGACATCGGCCACGCTCATCAGCCCAGTGCACGAATCCTTTCTCGTCACGCAAACTCACACCTGCCGCATTCAGGAGAGTTCCCAGCACGGCATCCTCGATGTTACCAGGGATAGTGTCACTAACGTAGCGCACCACCTCCTGGACACTGAGCTGGACAACGTCACGTGACAGGATATAGGCAAAGCCGGAGGCGAAAGGAGGGTACTGGCGTTTACCTTTGAACACGGGACTACTTGCATCAACACAATTCGGATGACCTGGATCCGTGGAGCATGGAATCAGACCTCTGTTGAAGTGCAAGTGGCCAGAATAGAACTCATGTCTGGGCTGACTCAGCAGCCAGGGGATGAGGTGACGAAACACAACGTACGCATCATCATCCACCATCATCAGGTAGTCATAGTGATTGTCCCGACGCAAACTCCACATCAGAGACCACTGGGTCTTGGAAGTCATTCGGTCATAACCGTCAGCGAATGGTGCTAGGAACACATCACCTTTCTGTGCTATCTCTTCTCTTAACTTTCTCATGACAGTGGCATTTGCTGAAGTTCCTGTCAGGAAAAGACATTCCACAGTGACTTGCTTCATCGTCCACTGTTCTTTCGGCGCTAAATCAGACGATTTTCCATAAAGCTGTCCACTTGTGCAGCGTGAGAACCATAGTCTTCTGGTGACTTCTCGCCGCTGGAAATAGTCCGGACCTGTCTTGACAATTAGAAGAAGAGAAAGAGATTGCACTGGCTGCCTGGCTATGCTTGGTTCGGCTGGCTCGAGTTCGCGATGCGACATCTCTGTGCTTTCCACAGTATCCATGATCGCTTCCGTCTCCATCTTGGCAGCCCCTTCTTGCTTATCAGCGGTTTTCAGATTCAGACGGTGAGTGGGTGGCGAACTCCAAACTGACACTGGTCTGCCTGACAATACATCGTCGCGTGCGACCTTCTCCTGGAAGGTTTTGTGATCACCACCTTGCTGCCTCGCACTGGCCTTTGGCTGCTCGGATACGTGTGTCCAAAAATAACTAGTATCGATGGGAGCGTGCGTAAACACGGCCAGTAAAATGAGCACCTGAAGAAAACAGGCTAGCAGCAGGAGAAACGTCTTCCTGTCCGCCATAGCCCGATAGAGGACCGTATCGCTTAGCCAACGGAACCAGGGAATGATTGCTGCTAGTTGATAATGCACCGACTACAATTTATTTTTGTAGTAACCTTTTTTCCGTCACGGGCCTCACTCACGGCACGGTACAAACATACAGTGACAACTGAACCGATAGTAGATACATGACTGTACTGGATCAAGAGTACAAAGTTAGTTACTTGTAGCGAAGAGACCACTTGATTTGACCACTTCGGATTTGAGGAGGGTGTGGGTAGGGTTCAAGTAACAGTTAGTTTCATTGTATTACTACTATACTCATGATACTAGTACAGTAGTCAGTACTACTACTAGCCGGAAATCTAGCAGCTCGTCATTTGTTCCGGCGATGATGTCCGCACCGGAGGCTTCGGTCGTGTGGCGCGGCAGCGACTTTGTACAAGCGCTAGCCGGCATCCAGAAAAACAGTCTGACTCTGAGCCTCTACAGCTAGCCACGTCATGGCTTTCATTCCGTGCAGGATTTCGTTTGCTGTGCTGCGTTCTCATGGTTCTTGCTTTGCTTGTTTGCGTGGCTCTGGGTTAGGCATCGTGCTGCTGCTAATGAGGCATCCCACCCTCTGGCAGTGTCGGAAGCCCACATCTCGCGAGATTAATTGCCATTTCTCGCTTCCCTCCTGTGCGTTTGTTGCTTATCATGTTCTTGTTTGTACATGTATTCAATTTCTTTGACTTACACCCCCCACACTGCCCCATGCTGCGTGGTCAGTCGTGTTGAGTGGATCTACTGGCTAGATACCTGCTGCACAGGCACACTGTATCAGCGCTAAGTACATGTTCCCGCACCGGAATGTGTTCAGTCACTAGACTGGCAGGATCTACTTGAGAGTGGTTCTATTCACAACACACGGGCCAATCGCGTGAAACCATGAAGTAAGAGATCGAAGCAAACAGACAACCCAATTAATTTCGGAAGTAAATAAAATTGATTATCACATGGCACGTGATTGTTGCCCGTACTCCAGCGAATCAGAACCTTTCGCGCCGCGGGCAATAAAAAATTTATTATTGCCCGCGATATTGCCCGCAAAAAAATAGTTTATTTCAGTGATCGCGTGACTACGACGCGCGACTCTGTAGACTGTGCTGTCTGTAGATCTACGAGTACGACGAGTCGCAGTGTAGCATTGAGACGAAGATGGAATTCTTTTTGGAGATGGACGTCCCGGCAATGGACATGGCCTCCGACGTCTGCCGTGTGGTGCTTGCAGGGATCATTTGTTCAGTCATGTTGGCAGCCTGACCGTCGGTAAGCTTGTGGATAAGATTTAGTTCTCCTCGATGTGGTACTGTGATCACAAACAATTATTTGAAATAACACAAATTCAACTCAGCATCCACGGTGGGTTTCAGATCCTCGCAAAGTCACTGCCTGTGTGTGGTCTTTTGTATTGTATTGTATTGTATTTATTTAAAAGGATTCTCCAAAAGCAAATGGATGCTTATCACGGAAGTCTTCCACATAAATATCGCAAGAAAAATGGGGAAATGGGGGAGAGGAGAGTGGAAGATGAAGCATGGAAAGAAGGGAAACAAGTACCTAAATATCGAGGTATAAAAGCAGGAAAGAAATCGACGAGGGAAGAAATCACCTCTGCAGTTAATAGCGGGACATTTAGATGAAAAAAACCCAGCAAGGATTAATTTCAAGGAAAAAAAATTCTCAAACGGAAAAGTTCGGAATTCCAGTCAGAGAATATCTATGCTGTGAGTAATGAGCCTTTAGAGCAATGCGAAAATTGACAGAGGACTGAACGCAGCGAATGTGTTCTGGAAGTTTGTTCCATTCCACAGATAAACTGAAGAGAGGGGATTTAAGGAAATGGGCGCAGAACGAGGTATAACTATAGAGGACGGGTGACGACAACTAAGGGAAACATTGAATTTGAAACGAATTAGCAAAGACGGAAACTGGTAAAAGACATGATGAAAATACAGCAAGGACAGAATCTGACGACGCCACTTCAGGGATGAGTACGATTAAGAATCTGCTTCGGGGTTTCCCACTCAGCTTCATGTGCCACGTAGAACTGTTATCAGGCTCATCTATCCTCTGCCTTCACCTTTGCTTGAACAACAAACACAACAATTCAGGAATGTTTTGCAATGAAAAATACAGCTATCTGGAGCTGAAAAAAGGAAGAAAAATTGTCCTGAGAAATACACACCAGGGAGTCGTCAAATACTTGCAGTACTGTATTTGACAACTTCCTGATACACATGTAAACATGAAGAAACTCTTTGTGGTAGCACTCTTAATTTTTCAACTGGAATTATGATTCTGCTATGTTTTATTGTGGTTGCCATGTCTATTGCTATGACGATGCCGTGTCGGCACTTTTTTCTGTCTCCGTCTTTCGGTACTGTATACTCTCTGATGGCCTGTAGCAGACTTTTTGTTAGGGTGTAGGAGAAATATCTTCATTTTTCCTGTTTTGATAATGATAGCACATCAATAATACATTGTGGTCATAATGTGTTGGCATTTGTATTATTGGGCTTGTTTCAATAGCAGCCCAATGGTCTGCTCTGTGGGCCATGTGATAGATTTGTTATCGCATGGTTGCTGCGGGCCTTATGGCATATTATTGCCCCTCGAGGTTAGCACTCGGGCCTATGGCCCTCGGGCTAACCTCTCGGGGCAATAATATGCCATAAGGCCCTCGCAACCATGCGATAACATATACATATTTCAATTGAAATATAAAATTGAACACAAAAGCTTCGCAAGAAATCGTCACCTACAGTCCACTTCAAAACTATAGACGTGTACCTTGGCAAAAACCGTTATGCCAGCATCTATACCACATAAAATCTGTGATCACTTTGTGCATAAATGTTTCCAAATTGGGTGTCTGTTATGATTATCCAATCGTTTAGAAACTCTATGAGACTAATTGTGGAGCGATACTGGGCAATATTCCGAAAACTATTCTCAAAAAGTTCCAGCCAAATTTGAAATATTTCAAAAACCCTACGCGTCTATAGTTTTGAAATAGACTGTAATAAGATTGCCTTCTACTAGTGGTAGTACAGTACTGGTAACTGAAATCCGACCCCTGAGCGGTGGGTTCACATTCTAGCGGTCTCTATTTCGTAGTTTTACAACACCGCTTTGGGTCTTCGCGATGTGAGCGCACCGCGCAGGGGTCGGATTTCAGTTGCCAGCACTATAGTACTAGTACCGTGTAGTAGGAGTACACAAGATGCACGTTATTTCCGCCGTGACGCGCAATCTCACGTCAAATTTGGCGTGAAACTCCGAATTCCGAAGTGAGCTGCAGGTCACTCACGTTGCTTTTCGACGCGCGAGCCAAATAACGCGAGCTGAACTAATTAGTTTCGCGTCACGTCAGAAATAACTTGCATCTCAGCTCTCTATTATGTCACATTGACTCCAGTTGAGATTACTGCTCGAATCTGTGTAGAATTGCACGGACGGATTGCGGAAACATGTGATAGTGATTATGTCTCGCTGTTTCGATGGTTTGGCAAGGTTTTTTTAAGGTGGAAGTCAACACGCGCATAGCGCCGCCTGTCCTATCTTCTCGGGTGCAGGTCAAAATGACGTCTCTGCAAGGAAAATAATTCATGTGTCGCCTTGTGACCCTTGTCCCAGTATGACGAGCTGTGACGCCTGCAACGTTCAATAAAAGGTATTTTGGTGTCAGATCACTTGCTTGAGTGATCTTTCATTGTCCTGTATGGATATTTCAGTGGTAACCGGACAAGCATACTAAGAGTCCAGTCCTTATTGTAAGCGCCTGATGGAAGTTTAATCTTGTGAAAAGGCAGAAATTGTTGCCACCTTGTTGTGCTGATTAGCTTTTCGTTATGGATTGGGTTGAGTCTGCCGCGGTGTACTCGAGTCGAGCCAGCTCATACGTTCATTCCACGGAGTACCCATCTACGGAGACGTTCTATCCTTCACCGTGGGACAGCGGGATATGTCTCGGTGAACATCCCTCCCTATGCGAATCCGACGTTAGGCTCGGGCTCGTCAGCAATGCGCTGCCAGAAAATGCCACACTATTTGTATGCAATGCGACACTCGTCACAGAGATAGCGGTACCAGAATGCATGGCCCAGTACATTTGAAACGTACTTTAGTGTTTGGAGTGCATGATATTCCTGAAGAGCTCAACGTCGGCAAACAACTCAACACGAAAGAAGCTAAGCAGGTCAGCGTGGAGACCGAAGCAGATGATAGGGATTCGCAGACCGTCCAGAACCCTAACTCCCCCACATCTGCCACTGGATGCCAACACGAACAGTCTACAACACACTCAAGGATTCCAGGACGGAGCTCCGAAGCAAAGACGGACCAAGCAAAAGAAGGACGGGAACAAACCCGCTGCTAAAGAAGATGTTGTGACCGACACCACAGGCGAATGTGAGTGTTCTGCAGCGAGCTCTCCGGCCCGGCAAAAGTGTAAACTGAGCTCACCGAGACAGAGCGTTCTCTATCATACGTGTAGGTATCATCAATACTTCACCTTGCTGTTGCCTGTATCTGCTGCAAGGCGTTCCACCCCGGAACATCGTCCGGACGAAAGCGAGCAGATTGGATAGTCTGAAAGATTCCCGGCATCGCTTTTGCCGGTAGAAGAAAGAAGTGGGGAAATACCAAAAGGCCTGTTCAACTTCTCACTCCTGAAGAATCTCATGGAAAGGTCAGGGATGTCTGCCTTCGCTATATTGATGAATCCTTACATGAAGAAGTGTTGAATAGCTACGTTTACAATTTCCGACTCTTCCTAACACGCTCTGAATCGGCGCATTCACTGTGTTCAATTGTTTTTCACCTCCTGAAGATTCTCCCAACCTTTGATCCAGAACAATCCGATTTATTAGAGGTATTTAACACGTGTTTGACAGGACACGCACGCATTTTGCAGAAAACACTCTCCGTTAGTCCACCAACATCTGCGTCAGGCATGCTTCAGCAAGTACGTGATTCCTCTACACACACCTCCGGGCAGTCTTGCTCTAAAGATGATGCAACGGCTTTTCTCCTTCTCGCAAAGCAAAGATTAGTCAATGATCCTGTTGCTTTCGAATGGATTCTCACCACGCTA